CTAGGCCTGAGCCCTTCGCTGATACAAAATACAAAGCGGAGCAGACCTGAGCCTTTCGCTCGAAGGCTGCTGATACGACATGTGGTATCTTCTATTTACATTTCCAAAAAATAAGCGGAATACAATAGGTGCGTTGTTCATGGCAACGGCTTTTGGGCGACGCGATTAGCGTCTCGGAGAACGAGGTGTGTCGTTTACTGCTCTTGGGCATAATTCCATGTGCGGCCGGTAGTGGCTTTCATTTTTAGATGCCCGAGTCACCAAATAAAGGTGGCTAGGGTAGGTCGAGGGACCCAAATATAATTCAAATCATAAATAAAGATGTTCAATAGATTAGAGCTTTGGTTGCACCATTTTGGGGATTTTAACCGGCACCAAAGGTGGTTATGATTATAACAGTAGTAATTTTTATTATTACTTCATTTTTCTTTTGAATAGTTAATAAAACCATTTTTTTTGGAATAGTAGTAAAACTATTTTGCTCCATATCTAATGCATAGAATAGGAGGAAAATTTAGTGGCACTTACCTTTTATTTGGGCCGAGGCCTGTGGTGCATAGAATTCCAGCCCGTTTGAAAAATAATTGATTGGCCCAATATTGCTGACCCACCAGGTAATCTGAGCTTTAGACCAACCCCACTTCGTAATTCCATCCGCGAGGGAGAACCGGGGACTGTAAGCCGATGAGGGAAGTGAGCATGGGCTTCGACTTTGCCGCTTTGGCCGGCGTGAAATAGGTGAACGAGGGATGCAATTCCATGGCAGACAAGCCACTTGGGGCAGATGAGGCGTTCTGGCCGCACGCGTCTCAGATCGATGTCGGGGTGTAGGAACAGACTGAGGGCGTGGACGCCGAGGCATGGAACCCGAGGGCTCGCCGGCTGGAGATGCAGAGGCTAGGCCGATGTGGGACCAAGGACGGCGGGGTGGATGAGGGTCCTCCGGCCAGTGGTCTGCTTGTGTGGCGTCGACGATAACCAGGGACGACGAGGGCCTCACTTTGGCCGAAGGTCTGCTGATTTGGCTGCCGGTGCGCCGCCGTCGCAGGGGGGGGCCGTGGTCAGACCGAAGTGATTCCGATTCTGACTGGCCGAAGGTGACCCTGTTTGGGCCGATGCGACCCGGGATGAAGGAGGTAACCATCTCTATTTTTCCTTTGGTTTGAATTTTGGCAGAAGCCCGGAGTGTTGGCCGACGATGCACTGCCGGCGGATGTGTGTGTGGTTATCTTGGCCGGAGTGGCTTTGATTTTGACTGGCTGAAAGCGAAGGAGTCGTGGCCGACATGTGTTGGCCGATGCGTGGCCCCCTGTTGTGTGCCGGTCGATGAGCTGTCTTCCGGCCGACGTGTGATTCCTGGCCGGCGGTGTTGCTGGCCGACGACGGTGTTTCTTGGCCGACAGTGTCGCCGTTTTACCGTTCGAACTGCGTAGGCCGAAGAGGGGAGCTGTTGGCCGAGGTGGGAGCTATTGGCCGAGGACTGCTGCACACAGGACCGAGGTGGGAGCTATTGGCCGAGGTGGGAACTGTTGGTCGAGGTGGGAGTTGTTCTCCCCCTGTTCAGGTTTGGCCGAGGGGATCCAGGGGTACCCCCACCTGGACGAGGGACGATACGTGACCTCTGGCCTGGCCGAAGCTTGCCTCCTTTTGGTCGTTGTTAAGTCCTGGCCGAGGTGGAACGCGACTGTAGTATCCTTCCCTCTTTCCAGGTATGGCCGAGGAATGACGGAGCAGATGGGGGCCGTTGCGGACGAGGGGCGCTGAGGAGCTGGATGGTGACCATCTGCTTTGTGGGCCCCAACTGCTTTCCAGTTTACTGTATACATGCTTTCGTGGCTTTGCAGCCGAGGGGAAACATCACCTGTGTTTCCAAGATGAGGCAACATCATTCTTGTCTTGTTTTGGCTGAGGGTGTGGTCTCCTCATTTGTTTGACCAACACATGGTTTTATTATTTTTTTGGCACATGACATTTCGCGTTGATGGCCTTGTAACTGAATCGTAATGGGAGTGAAGCAATTGGATTGTAATTTTTGGCCGACGGGTAATGTAACCCCGACTGGGGCCGAGATGGCCTCTTGACATTAATTGATGGGGAGAATCTCACTTGATTTGCTCTAGCTCTCAATGAAAGCACCATTTGATGGAGTATTAACTCCTAGAGAGAAGGGAGAGCTAGAGAGATAAATTGATATATATAATGAATTTCTAACCCTTTACATGACTCCCTTAGGGAGTATTTATAGGAGAAAAGCGGGCTGGGCTTCCAGGCTTGGGCCTGGAAGGCCCATTTACAGTAAAAGGCCAATAAATGGCTAACAAATGGTATTTAATCTATTCTAACGGGTATACATGAATAAAATGGAGTGTACAACGAAATAAATGCTATCTACTGAGCGTATGTGGGCCGCTGTCCGGGTCCAATAGTCGTGAGACCCGGGGGTCCGAGTCTATATACTCTATCAAATGAATATATAAATTGAAATAGAAATCCATATAAAAATAAGTCCAAAATAACAAACATGAAATCACAATCCAAATTTATTTATTTTTACACGGTTTGTTCGAATTTTTAAATCATAATTATTCATAAAATGTATTGTCAAAAAATTGTTTTATAATAATAATAAATGTATTGTGTGAATATATTGACACAGCTCGGATTGTATGAAAAAACTCAATTGACGGAGTGAATACACAATTTTTGTATGAACTAGTTGAGAATTTGATTTATTGACGGAGTATGAATGTACGGTTGGGGATAGTCTTATGACTACCGATACTCAATTTTTTGCTTCACTATCTAAACAGTTGTATCTTGTAGGCTTCAAATATTCTTAATGAATTCAAAAAGCAATTACGCTTGCTATGAACATGTTGCTTTGAAAATTAAACACCAAAATTTGCAAACACTTGCAAATCATGATAGGTTTCTGAAAAACAGAAAAGGAAAAACTATAACGAATGAAAAGTTAATGTGTTTGTGAGACTTAATGCACCGAATATGGTGTTATCATGTGAATGTCTGATTGAAAGGTTATGGATTCAAGTGTTGTGGACGGTCTCTTGTCAACGATAAAATTCTGGCTAGTTTATTATGACTACCAATAATAATGGAAAACTCATTTTTTATGCACCTGTGAATGAGACCCTTCCCCAGACACCGACTTGCATAGACACTCGTATGCACCCGACTTCCCTTGTTTTTTTATATTAAAGCAACAAACAATACCAAATGACATGTTTGCTTGTTTACCAATTGTATCTTTTTAGAATCTAAACAGATGTGCTTTAGAAACAACATACATTGAAAACCCGCTAGACACATAAGGGTTTGAAACTCAATGAAGTGAGTTTCATCCCTGATTACTCTAGTCCCCCCAGCCCTCTCTCCCAGACCCCCTGGAGTAAAAAAACATACTACCTCTGTAACGTTGAGATCTTCCCACTTTGAAAGAGATGAGATTATGAATAGTGAAAGGGATGTAAATTATTGAAAGTATGATGAGAAAATAATGAAATAATGTGATGGAATGAAGGATGAATTCAAAAAAGTAGGTGTAATAGTGTATTATTTTTAAAATTATTGAGGTACAATAGGAAGATTTAGAAATATGAAGATTATTTAGTTACGATTGAAAAGGAAAGTGAGAAGATCTTTACGCCACAGAGGTAGTAATAGAATTGTACATGGATTAGAGGGTTATTACGGAGAGCATTCACGATATACTCAAGATAATTTATTAACATACTATAATTCGATTCGGAAGATGCTTGACACTTGCATCGAGCTAGATTCAGAACACCGTGTATTGCTTAGATCAATTTTAGAACACAAACAATCAATTATTGTAAGCCCGCGGTGCCAAACATAACAGAGAAATGGCACAGAGTCAACTCTTGAAGTTATAGCGGGAATTCATTCAAATACATTCTATGATTTGCGCCAAGTGAAAAAGTGTTAATTGATATCAACTATCACGGACTACACCACAAATATTCATGCACTATCATGGGCGGAGCCAAGACACTGAGCCTGATTGGACCGATACAAAGAATATTTTGGGGAAAAAATATACACGAAAATTTTTACACAAAAAATATAGACATTTTTTAAAATTTGTATTGAACCAGGGTTAGTTTTGGCCACTCCCTAACTACGCCACTGTGCACTATACAATGATACTATCCAATATTAAGTTGGATCATTCAAATCATCAAAAAGCTTGAATAAAACTATCAACTAACACTTGTTTAATGTTTTCATATTGTCATGGATTAAATAATTATATTTAATATCACACAAAAAATTGTACATTTTTATTATATATTTGATTAAGTGATGTACTACTAAAAAATTACTAAAGTCTAATATAGCCAAAAGAATTAATCTATATAATCAAACAATTTGTATCACTTTTTCTTCAATGAGTCAGATTTTGATATCTGAACTATTTAGTTTTGATAAAAAATGTGATTGATATCCAAATGGACATTTAATCAGTTCATAAACTGAGACAAAATTCTGTCCTACATTCATTAGATTACCCACATATAAATCTTTTTCAAATACTCTCATTTTTTTTAATATTACACACTTCCTGTCTCTTATCATTATTAGCTACCTCTTCATCAACCATTATCTCAAAATATTCCTTTTTGTGTGTGTGTGTGAATAGTACTTCCTCCATTGGTGTTTCCATTCTGAATTATTTAATCATATAATTAAATAATCTCTACACTCCTCTATGATTCCCTAAATAATTAATTATATTCGTCATTCCCTAATCCCCAAGTAATCTCGACCCCCTGCTATAAAATAAAATGACCAAAAATGGAATTTCAGGAAACATTATTACCTTCGACGTTTTGTGTCTTTTCGAACAACAAATTCCGGTCGTGTATACATACAGTATATATATGTATGCATAAAAATTACTGTTACTCCGTATGTATTTCGCAGTAACTCATAAATAAATCAATCCTCCGGCTGCCATTTATTCCCCACCAATCAAATCCGACCGGCCGCTTTCTTGTCAGTTCACCGCCATCGCCGAATGAATTTGAGCTTATGAGCGGGCGGTTTTACTCCAGAGATTCACAGCGGCGGTGATTTTGGGTAAAAAAGGGAAATGATTGACGGACTGCTTATAGTGTAGACGGAAGGAGTTGCTTCGCTGCTTCGAATTTACATCTTTATCCTCACCCCCTTCCTCCTCCTTCATCGACTTGAATCTTTAGAGAGAGAAAGTGAAAAAGGAAGAGAATTTGCAATCAAGGCCATGTCGCGCTGTTCATATCTGCACTTGTAATAATGGCGGATGAATCCGAGTCTAGCATTTTCTACGAAGGCTCCGACCTCATGGTCGATCCTCCCTGTTCTTCGACGCAGTGAGGCCTGGCAGGGCGATTGTTCTCGCATTCTTTGTCCGATTCGAGTATTTTCTCCGATTTCAATTCAGTTTTGGTGCTGTGTTCGGATTGGGTTGTCTTTTACTTAGGCCTTTGATTCAGAGGGAGCAGAAAGATAAGATGGACGGCGGCGCTGAGGGTTGCGGAGGTGGGGGAAACGAAGCGGGTCCCCCACATCCTCTTGAGTGGAAATTCTCTCAGGTATTCGGTGAGCGTACGGCCGGGGAAGAAGTCCAGGAAGGTAAAACCTTTCTTACTACTTTCATTTCTCTGCTCCTTCGGATCCCTCGTCTGTATTTGCCCCTGATCCACTGGGGATTTCTTCTTTCTTTTTTCATATCATCTCCGTTTGTTAATGGCTAGGACTTTAGTTATAGTTTAACAATTTGTGCTGTAAAAATTTAGCTTACCCATAGTTCGGCTTGGCCATATTAGATTTTAGACTTTTCTACAGATCTATTATTATCTCTAATATGATTTAGAAGAGCGGATGTGATAGTTCTTCAGAAATTCCAAGTTGGCTGTATGTACTGACATAGACTCGGTGCAAGTGCGTATTTACATCCTGACTTATTGGACATGGCACCGGAGGAGGGGTTAACTTGTACTGGAAGTGGCTGTTGGTTCATGACACTCAGGGTGGACATTCTTTGGCATGGATGCTATTATCGTAATAACTGCATTGAATTTGCGCTCTGCTTGAGGTGATAACATTTGCTGACCTTTTTGCTTGTAATGAGAAAAGCACCTGGTCAAGGTGCAGGTAGCTTCATGCCTTAGTGGTTCTAAACATTCTCATGTTAATGTTTGACCTGGCTGTCAGTCGGACTCGGACTTAGTTATGCTCTTTTAATGTGAGACTCGCATGTTGCAGAGCACCTCAAAAAGATCTTTTTCGGCAACGTGTTACGATATCACATAATTTCCTGACATAAAATTCATTTCACAAGTTATTGATTATGTCTATTGGACATATAAATACTACATATATACTACATTACTACGTAATATTTATCTTTCACTTTGTGCTGTAGTGCTATTGGTCTTTTCTTGTCCCTTAGTGGGCTTAGTGGGACGTTGAATGTTATGCGTGGTGAGTTAATTGGATGGATAGAATAGCATTATTATGACAAAGTTAGATTGTTGATACTTTTTTTGGTTCGTTTGGCAACTTCATTGGGCGCATATTCATGCCTAGATACTAGGTGAGAGCTATAACCACAGTTATGGCTCAAACACTTCCGCATGCTTCTGAGAAGATTTTCTTTTTTGGATGACTTCGTCAGTACCTACAGTACCCATACAGTTTTTAATGAATGGCTTGTGGATACCGGCTAGTTTTGCATGCAGGTGCATGTCTGCATGCACCTGGTGGATAGACAAGCTGTGTTCTATGTTTCTATTTATGGATAAATTGTTGTGTAGTTAGATATGTGTGTACCGGCTAGTTTTGCATGCAGGTGCATGTCTGCATGCACCTGGTGGATAGACAAGCTGTGTTCTATATTTCTATTTGTGGATAAATTGTTGTGTAGTTAGATATGTGTGTCAAAGGAATTCCGGTTTACCTTTCAATATCACCATTTAATCCCTGAACTTATTGAGTGTCTGACATTTTTAATGCCTTCCCACACATTACACTTATGAGCTATTAGATAATAAAAGTGTTGTAAATAGTAGTCTAATTCGTAAATGCTGGTGGTGGAGATGGGGAGTCAATATTGGTATCAGTATAGCTTGGCAGTTTATGCTAGAATGGTGGTAGGTAATGGTAGTGGTTGGAGCTCTTTACTAATTCGATATGGGTGATTTTTGAGTGATCAATGGTGATTCACTAGTACATATGCTGATATGTTTCATGAGGAAATAAGAAAAGTGATGCTCTTTGTACAAGGTTATTCTGGAAGTCTTTTTTTTGCACTTTCCAACTTTTATTGATGAGGTTGAAATTCGGAAGTCAAGTTTACTTTTCAAGCTGGAAACAACCTAGGGAACAGTTTTTTAACTCAACTTTTTTATAGGTTTTCTATATTCCTGTTATATAAATTATTTAGTTTTGAATTTATCAATGACGCTAGTACGTCAACCTGATTTGAAAATTTACTATACAAATTTCTGTTTTGATTGGTAATATCTTTCCCTAAAGTGAAAATAATACTTTACAAAACTTTTATGTTCTTCAAATGGCATGATCTGATATGTGTTCATTCTTTTAATGTGCTGGGATGTGGTTTATGAGGTTTCTCAACATTGATTCATTTGCCCATAATTACTGCATGCAATTCTTATATTTCAGGTAAGTAATACCTACTTTTTGTATCATTGGTCTCACTTCTTCCTAATCACCAATGAGTTGCAGTGAATCTATCGTGTTGCTTCAGTCAGTTATTGCTGCAGTTTAGCTTTAAGAAAAAAGCAAACTGATATAGGGCTATTCAAAGAAAGTATATGTTCTAATGGAGAATATGACTGCAGTATTAATCAGAAAACAAGGCACACAAAGAAGAGAGCTCAATAGCATTCATAAAAAATGATGCTAATAACAGAGTGATACTAATAAATATGCCATAGATAGTTTCAAATAAATATTTATTGGAGATTGTTTTGTAGTGTTATAATAATAATAATAATTAAAGTAATAATAAAAGATATTGCCCCTCACAAAAAGCTAAAGCACCTTGCTAGGTCATGCTAAAAAACACACATTGTACTGTAGTGCAATGACGAGTAATAAATAACTACTTTGTATATCTACTACACGTACCTTACTGAAAATACTACAAGAATGAAGATATGGATTAAAAGCTCAAGAATGCTTTTGGCATTATCGGGGATTGTAATTAGCCTAATTCGGCAAGCAATTTAATTTACAGATGCAATTCAGTTGAAAAATGATATGCATTCTAACAATATGACCGACACTATTAAGGGTATAATATCATTGGAGGCATGGAGGCACCCAGATGGTTTGAGATAATTTTCTATGCCTACTTCTTTTGCACTTAGCAAATAGATTTCTTTGGAATAGTGAACCTAATATGCATGTGATGTAACTTTTACATTATGGCTTGTGTGATCTTTGATTTTATAACACACTTTTATAGCAGAGATGGATTTTTATAATAAATTATGCATACTGCATATGTAAATCATAACACACATGTATCTACAGATCTACTTTAATTGCAAAATTCTAATATGTTTGCTCACCTTATTTATTGCAGTTGATATCATCTCAGCAATTGAGTTTGATAAAAGTGGGGACCATCTCGCTACTGGTGATCGTGGGGGTAGGGTTGTATTATTTGAAAGGACTGATACTAAAGAGGTAGTTTATTTTGGCTTTGAACTGATCAAAATTTGCAGTGGATAGTTTTTCACTGCTTTGTTTTTTCTTTTGCAAATGAGCCATTTAGCATGTTGCAAGTGTTGGAAGTCGGAAAGAAGTTGAAAGAATGGACTATCCGCTTAGTCGGCACCCAGAGTTTCGGTACAAGACAGAATTTCAAAGCCACGAGCCAGAGGTACACCTGATGTCTTGATGTGCAAATTTTCATGAAATTCAATTGTATGAAACTGCAAGATTCCTATCAGGGAACGCCACAATTCTTATTTAAAATGGGATCATCTGCCCTATACTTGCATAAGTGCATTTCCTCTAAGCCTTGGCTATCTATGTGCATTAATTGTGTCATTTATGATCTGTGTTCTGTTTGTAGTGGATTTGAAGCCATGTTTTTAATCAAATCTTTCTTGTCGATTCTGTTCAGTTTGATTATCTTAAAAGCTTGGAGATTGAGGAGAAAATTAACAAGATTCGATGGTGCCAAGCTGCTAACAGTGCCCTCTTTCTTCTGTCCACGAACGATAAAACAATAAAGTTTTGGAAGGTAATTCGTTTTTTATGATCCAATGTTACTTTTTCCATTTTGTTTTCGGTTCCGGAGCTGTAGGATGCTATCAGTATGCCTCTCTTTGAGTCCTTTTTGCTTTCTATGTTGGAGGGGGAATGTTTTTGATCAATCACTGATTTTTGTTTTCACTTTTCAGGTGCAAGAGAAGAAAGTAAAGAAAATAGCTGACTTGAATATCGACCCTTCTAGATCTATTGGGAATGGCAGTGTTTCCAGTTCAAGTGTTACTCTGACATCAAACAAGAATCTCACAAATGGGGACTATCATGATAGACCTTACAATAGTTTGAGCAACGACTCATCATTACCTGCCAGTGGCATCTCTGCACTTCGTATACCTGTGGTAGTTGTACTTTTCCTTTTCTTATCCATTTACATATACAGTGATGTCTATGTACCTTTTTGAATTTTATATTTGCTGATACTTGTGACTTGTTGAGTTTTCAAAAACCAATTCACCTTTTACATTTTGGGCAGTGCTGAAAATGGAAAATGCATATGGCTGCTCTGGAACATAACAGTTATTCTGAAAGATAAAATTATTTTAAAATATTTTAAATTTAAATTTTAAATTTAAATGAAATATCCTAGAGTAACCCTTTGTTTATTTTGATTTTTGAAATGGTTCTCTACTACACACATTTCTTTAAATAACCCTGAGGTAGGCTAGATGCTTCGAACATGTTGGGAAATTTCCTGAGGTAACCCTGGTAAATTTCCTGATGTAACCCTTTGGTTCTTTTGATAAACCAAAAAACCCAAGGGTTACCTCAAGAAATTTCCTAATTTTAATTTTTACTTTTTTTGTTTGTTTAGTTTTATATTTCTAGTTTTGCAGAGCTTACAAATTCCACAAGTTACATTGGTAGGAAATAATCTATTTTTTCATTTCATCCATTCCGATCAAAAGTAGGACGTGTGCTATTTTTTAAAGGTTATCAACAAATATCCAATCAAAGCAATAGATGATGAGGGTGCTTGGTCAAAAGTTTGGATTGTACGCCATATCACCCAAACAATACGTAGTGGGGCACCAAATGACCAAATTGGCACTGTTTTGAACATATGTGGTTTGCCGTTTGCATTTAATTATGTGTATACATTGGTGGTTTGTATATGTTCTTAGTAATTTAGTATTTCGCTAAACCTGTATATGAGGATCTATATATAGGTTCTCTCAACATTATTCTTTTTGGATCAATAAGTTTGAAACTGTGGGCTTAAAACATACTCCATCTCAATATACGATTCCTACTTTCTCAAAGTAAGATCCTTTTTTCCTTTTGATAAAAAAGTTATGTGGATCATATTATCATTTCTATCTCAGTTACCACACAAGTTTATGTCCTTAATAAACGTACCAAGTCAAACCAGGCAGCTTATTGGGAATAGATGGAGTGTTTTCTGTGAATTCATTTTCTTGCACTGGCAGTAAGCAATTAATAAATTGTGTTGAATGAGTTTTTTTCTTCTTTCCCTGGCAAAGCTTTAACCTTTATTTTAGGAAGTTTTTGTTCTGTTTGCGTTCTAAAACTCGTAAGTACTATTGCAGGTTACAAGTAATGATAGCAGCCTTGTAGCGCGATGTAGGAGAGTTTACGCTCATGCGCATGACTATCATATCAATTCCATTTCAAACAACAGGTATGCATTTCGTTCCGTGCAGTTCATATTTTAAGTGTGCTTTCTGTAGGAGGCTCAACTAATTCCTTTTGCACCTCTCAAATCAGTGATGGTGAAACATTTATATCAGCTGATGATCTGCGAATAAACCTGTGGAACTTGGAAATAAGTAACCAAAGTTTCAATATTGTCGATGTAAAACCAGCAAATATGGAAGATCTAACAGGTAGGTTTCCTATTTTTGGTAGTGGACTTTGTTGTGTGGTTTGCGGCACATTTATTTTAGCCTAGCTACTATAAAAAGAACATTGCACTGCATTTCTTTAGTAAATATCAAATTATCAATACAACAAATAATTACACATTTGATAAACAAAAATAGCCAAGGTTTAGTTCTGATCAAAATTAAGCCTTGCTTCCGCTTGGTTCAATCAGCATATTTTCATTTAATTCTAACAAGTTATTTGCTGGTCTATCGGTTCCTAGTTCATTGAGTTGTTTGGATGTGTCTAGTATATTCCTTGACATTTTCAGATCTTTTTATGTTATGCAATTACTTAATTAGTACTTCATCAGCCCTAGTTTATCTTTGTACTTTGAATTTGCTCTACATTTAAGGGATGAAATTGTGTGTTCGAGAATTTGAGATTGATCTAGAAAGGGATTGATCTAGAAAGGATTTATTACTCGAGGGGTTGTCATTGAAAAAGAGTTTCCTTCTCCCTATGAAACCTTTCGATTTTCTTCTCACGTCACGCTTTTGAGATTTATTTGCGAAGCAAAATTCTTTTTATAATAGCGATTACATACTTCAAAGGGCGATTACTACGGCTAAACTATGAAAAGAAGAAATCAAAGTGAATTACTTTCTAAATTAGATAAACTAATGAAGGTATTAAAGTAAAGTCAATCAACTATATAGGCAAATCAACCAGTCATCTCACTCTACTCACCCTATCTACAATTCTAATTGATTGCTATTTATTTTTGCTGTAAACATGTAACTTGTTTCATTATACTACTCTTGAATACACGATCTTTTAAGATTGCACCAGTAGAAAGGGTTGTTGGTTATTATACTTGTGATGGAAGTCAATAATAGGTTGTGTTAGGCGAAAGCGAATAGGAGCAACATGTTGATAAAATAATTTGAAGAATACAATGGAGAACTTTGACGAAAGGGTGTTTTCGAAGGGACTAAAATACGGGGTAATAGATCGTAGGGAGGAATTCGGTCACAAAGACGATAAAAGTCTAAGTTAATTGGGTTTTAAGCGAAACCGTCGTGACTCCTCGAATTACATGGGATTTCTCTGTGTGCTCTTACCGAAAAACTGGATTTTCAAAACTTTTTCATAAAAACTATGAGAATGACAATGAGTAGGAAAAGACTTTTTAGGAAAGAGATGAGATGTGAGATCTTAACGACATTGATCAGTATGATTGAGTTGTAAAATGCATGAAAATTCGTGCCTATATGAGTTATGTGAAACATGACATCATCTTTGAATATTGTTGTGTGTTAGAGCTTGGATATGGACTTAGTAAAGGACTTGTATGCCTAAGATAGAGTAGAAGCTTTGTGAATAGCTTAGTAGTTAAGTTCTCGCTTTCATTTTCTTTCTTAAAGAATAATGCCGCCATGGAGAGACCCTTGTGTCACCCTAACGAATCTGGACCTCCTAGCCTCCTAGGCTATGCAGTAGATGGCATAACTCATGAGTACTGTCGTGCATCAAAATGTTCAACCCCGTCACATTGAATGACATCGCAAAACGCGTAGCTGGGCGAAACCTGCCCAAATACCTAGGTAAGGAGGACCCCCAGAATTCTCGAGGATTGGATCCGCACGTTTGATAAATTCTTTGACGCAATCAACTGCCCTATGGAGCAGCGAGTCGACATTGTGGTGTACTATCTGCATCAGGAAGTCGACCAATGGTGGGCCATGTTAACTGAACTGAATTGAAAACTGAATATTCTTGTATATTAATCAAAGGGTTACACTTATATAGGAAATCCTAACATCTAACTAGTACATCTAGTACATGTAGTACAACTAACCTAACATCTAACTGGTACAACTAGTACAACATGTACTACAATAGGAATAGTGCAAAAAGTACATGTACTACAATAGGAATAGTGCAAGAGAAAGTATTCTTCACAGGCCACTGTCGGGACGGCGCTTCGCGAGCAGTTGAACTTTTCAAGGAGGCAATGTGTGACCGGTTTTACCCCGAGCATGTGAAGACGGCGATGTATGAGGAGTTTCTCCATTTGAAGCAAAGTGAGATGTCTGTTCATCACACCAAATTCGTGAGGCTTGGTCATTTTGCATGTGCTGTAGTGCTCGATGAAGCTGACAAGGCTCATAATTTATTAACTGGCTGACTTTGGCACACATAAGGTCGTGGCTATTTTAGGTTGTCAACCTTTGAGCGAAGCTTATGCCATATTGCCATAACTGTTATGCACTATTTGGTATAACGATTTGAGAGGGAGGTTCACAAAAGAAACTAGAGGAATGCTGTATAGGAGAATAGGCAAATGGAGAAGAGGGCGAGGACCAATCATCCTTTTAGCGTAAGAAGGACGTTGAGTTCCTAATTCGGGGTGATTGTAATACTTGAGATTAGTTTAAAGTGATTAATTGTACTACTCATACCAACAAGGTGCGTCTTTTTTCAAGGGAGTACATCTACTTTTTTTGACAAGAAGGGAGTTCATCAACCAAGAACTCCAAATTAAACGTGCCTGCACGAGAGTTAGGAATGAGTGATCCCCTAGGTTTCTGGGAACAATACTTCTAGCCTCATCGAGCACTAAAGCACGTGCAAAACGATCTAGCCCCACGAAATTGGTGTGGTACTCATTAACAACACCTCACTTTGCTTCAAACGAAGAAACTCCTCATACATTGCCGCCTTCATATGCTCAGGGTAAAACCGTTCACGCATTGCCTCCTTGAATTCCTCCCACAAAAAGTTCGGCTACTCACGAAGCGTCGTCCCGACAGTGGCCCACCAATGGTCGGCCTCCTGATGCAAATAGTACACTGCATTCTCGACTCGCTACTCCATAGGGCAGTTGACTGCGTCAAAGAGTTTATCAAACGTGCAGATCTAGTCCTAGAGAATTCAAGGGTCCTCCTCGCCTAGGTATTTGGGCAGGTTTCACCTAGCTACGTGTTTTGCTATGTCATTTCCATTGTGATGGGGTTGAGCATTTTGAAGCACAACAATACCAATGAGCTACGCCATTTGCTGGATGACCTGGGCCAGGTTCAAATTTGATGGGGTGTTGCGAGGGTCTCTTCGTGGCAGCATGATTCTTTAAGAAAGAAAACGTAAGCAAGAACTTAAGTACGAAGGTATTCATAAGGCTTCTACACTGCCTTAAGCATACAAGACCATATTCAAGCTCTAACACATAAAGGTATCTAAAGGTGTTGTCATAATTCACATAAGCATGAATTTTCATGCATTCCACAAATCAATCATACTGATCAATCTCGTTATGATCTCACCGCGTCCCTAAAAGTCTTTTCCTACTCATTTTCATTCTCCTAGGTTTTATAAAAATGTTTTGAAAATCCAGTTTTTCGGTAAGAGTACAAAAATTTCTTCAAGGATTTTGAACGTTGGAGTTTCAGCACAAGGAGAAATTTCCATGTAATTCGAGGAATCACGACGGGATCACTTAAAACCCAATTACCTTAGACTCTTAATGTCTTGGTGACAAAATTTCTCCCTACAACCTAATACCCCGTATTCTAGTCCCTTCGGAAAAACCTAAGTTTTTATACCAACTTGTAACACCCTTTCATTAAAGTCCTACGTTGTATTCTTCAATTTACTTGATCAACATGTAACACCCTGAAAGAGTGTTACATGTTGCTCCCCTTCGCTTTCATCTAACACCAGGCTAGGGAAGAACGTTTTAACTTGCACATGTCATTGTCGGGCAATGGAATTAAAATGTTATGTATCCAAAGGGTTGTTGGCGGTGATGCCGTGATCGGGATTGTTGGAAGATGGTGGTGTGGGCTGCTATGCCAGCTCGAAGTAATATAAACGCGGATGTGATTGAAATGTTTTGGACTTCTTATTAAGAAACCTTCGGGTTTTCCTCTTCACTCTTCTACGATAGGGCTAGCAGAACTTCTTTCATAATACATAAAAGTACCATGTTTGAGCAAATCAAACATGGTCAAATAAATGTAGCATGTATGAACTAATAATGAAAGGAAGAAGTTCTAGCAAATCACTTCCTAAGTTGGATAAGCTAATGAATGTATTGAAATCAAATTAAAATGATATGAATAAATAACCATGTTTGAGCAAATCAATCGGTCGTATTACTCCATAATCTTCAACGTTTTTATTCTTGCCAAAATATATAATCATGCATTAAAAGGAAAGAATCACTATCAACCACACTATTCTTTCCTTAAAAGTGAAGATTATTTTGACACTGATAGAAAAGAAAAGTGGGAGGATTAAAAAGGGATGGGGGAGTATTTTTAAATACCATAGTTAGTTAAGGTTTGGCTAATGTAGCATATGATTATATCTTTGGCTGACGATCTGCCAACCTGGTACTCTAACAAGTCTTAATTTATCAGAATCGATGTTTGGCTAAGTTTATCAAGTTTTAAATTACCCGCTAAATTGACAATTTTTAAAAGAATTGGTTATAAATGAGTGGAAATGGTTGAGTTTTAGTTTTAATTAAGCCATTAAGTTCCTATGCCGTCTGTTTGAGGGTGCCGACTAGGTTGAGATTAAGCTGTGTACTTGTTTATGCATGGCAAATACATCTTCCAAAGAAAAGGAACTTATTTTATTCCTAGTAGGGGCATATTCTTTTTCTGTTTTCTTGAACTAGATGTGCAATCCTTTTACTGGTTTATATTTTAACACCTTTAGTTTATCAGTTTTCTTGTTAAAACTAGAACATTATTTTATTGGAGTTATTATGCTTTATTTAGAGAATCAGGCTGACTTTATCCATATCTTTCAACCAGTTCACACATGCATAATCGATAGCTTGAAATCAAGTTGCATATCACTGTGTTTTATAGAGTATGAGATCAGAGGAAAATGCTTAGACCTCAGTCACCCAATTAAACAGAGATTTAATCTGTTATTTGCAGAGGTTATAACTTCAGCAGAATTTCACCCAACACACTGTAACACGTTAGCTTATAGTAGTTCAAAAGGATCTATTCGTCTCATTGATTTACGGCAATCGGCACTGTGCGATTCACATTCCAAATTGTGAGTACCCTCCCTACTGTGCTGTTGAGTTTGGTGTTTGCATTCTTATTGGTGACCGCTTCAGCTATAATTGAGTTGCTTGTCTAATCATTGTCCAACAGGTTTGAGGAACAGGAGCCAGCTGGCTCAAGGTCCTTCTTCACAGAGATAATTGCTTCAATTTCTGATATTAAATTTGCAAGAGATGGAAGATACATCCTCAGTCGTGATTACATGACACTCAAGGTTGCTTTGTTATCTTACTTTGGGCTTTATTATAGGTTTTGTACTCCGGTAATATTTTCAAAGACATTGTTCTTCTTTGAAGTTTGAAGAAATGTGTTACGCCCTCCGTCCCGAAAAGGTTGGCCAAAGTTGACTTTCACGTGGATTAGTATAGTAAAAATTGTGTGGTTGAAATTTGTGCAGAGGAGAAAGAATTAGTTTTAGCCACATATTTCTTACTTTATATGGAAATGGCAAATAATTTTGGGACATCCAAAAAAGAAATTTGGCTAACCTTTTCGGGATGGACAATCAAATTTTAGTCTAGCCAATCAAATTTTCCAATGTTTTTTTCTGTCTGATGTGCACTTTTCTTTTACCTCAACAAAATTTAATTATATTCTTTATGTTGATTAACATCTGAACCTTTGTCAGTTGTGGGACATAAATATGGATTCTGGGCCAGTGTCAACATTCCAGGTTCACGAATATTTAAGACCAAAGGTAACTACTACCACTTTGTACAAACTTTTTTTAATATAAGAACTGTCCTAATTAAGCGCAAAAATCGATGACATTCAGCTATGTGATTTATATGAGAATGACTCCATCTTTGATAAATTCGAATGTTGCTTGAGCGGCGATGGAATGCGAGTAGCTACAGGATCCTACAGGTAGGTGTAACTGCTTGATTATGTATGCTATTTGTTGCTTCCCTTCTCCCTTCCTTTATTGGGTCTCGGTGTACTCCTCCTGTAACTAAATTTCTTTTGATTTCTTTCAGCAACCTGTTCCGTGTTTTTGGCCGTGGGGTGGGAAACACTGAAGCAACAACTCTGGAAGCAAATAAGAATCCTATGAGGTATTTGTGCATTCAATGCTGCACTGTGAGGATGTATTACCCCCGTCCCAAAAAAAATCCATTTCAAAACTTTGACCAACTATATATTTATATTGGAAATTATTTATAATATAAAATTTATATGAAAATGTTCTTTGTTAAAATTACTTTCATAAAAGTATAAAATTTATAACTTTCATAATATTATATTAATCAAAATCATGGTCCAGATTTCATGAAATAACAAAGGTTTTTGGGACAGAGGTAGTATCAGACAGTTTTTACATTGCTGCACTCTGACACCTTTTGCTTTACACATCCAGAAGACAAGTCCAGGCCCCTTCAAGGCCTGCCAGATCTATAAGCAGTAGTATAACTCGCGTTGTCAGGCGAGGTCTGTTTTCTAATTTAAACAAACATTGAATGTTTGCTTCAGATTGTACACACACACACACACACACACACACACACACAGAGAGAGAGAGAGAGAGAGAGAGAGAGAGCAGTTCTGACTGGAACTGCCTTTCAGAATCCGCCGTTTGAGGTGGTTTCCGGTGGAATTTTTTGATGAAATTTTGTGAGAATGTTCTTCATGAAGTGTAGATTGTATCCCCAAAATTTCAGCTTAAAATTCAATTAGGAAGTAGTTAATAAGTGCTTTTAATTTGAAAAATCAGAATCATTATGCAGCATTGCATTGATCTTGAGGTTAAAAAACAGAAAAGCAATAAAAAATGTGGTGTCAGAATTGTACGCAAGTGCAATTTCTGTTTCCACTTACAAAGTAAAATTGCTGATGCTAAATGAGTAAATGTGTAGCTGCTCACTACTGAAGGTGCGAAGTTTTGTAGTGTGCATATTCACATTTCGACTACTTTTTATTTGAACTGTTCTCTTTACATACAACAACACACATCTGAAGTAAGAGATTTGAACTCTATTTCCTAGCTATCCAATCAAGAATCAACTCGGTATAAGTTGCACAACCATTCATATGGGAAGACCAGTATCTTGAATTCTGTTCAAAACTTCATATGGGAAGCAACTTTCATGGCTTTCATATGAATGGAAGTTGCTTCAAACTACAAATTGCCATTTCCTTTAGACAGTGTTGATTTTTGGATGGGTAAAAGATAAGAGTTCCTATCTCTTATTTTAGATCAATCATGTTTTATGTGTGTGTAAATAATTGCATAGACAATCTGATGCTTTACGGTTATTACAGGAGGATCAGAAAGCCCAGATGCAAATGGAAATTCATTTGATTTCTCAACAAAACTTCTTCATCTTGCTTGGCATCCAACTGAAAACTCGATCGCGTGTGCTGCTGCAAACAGCCTGTACATGTATTATGCATCATCATCATAATAATTAATATGAACAATAATAGTAATAAAATCACACAGGGATAGAAAAGCACAATCTCTGGGTGCAATTTGTGAAAGAGGCTGTCTTAGCATTTGTCTCACTTTTCACTGCAAAATTGCCTCGCTAATGTGGGGTCCACACAATGTAAGTTCAATGGCAACAAGGGTTCGGAAGCAGCAGAAAAAATCTTCAATGGTTAAGAACCACTGGTCTCTGCCCCATCCTCTTTTGCCTCTTTTCCCTATCTGTGTCTGCCATTTGTTAAGGAAGAGGTTTTACACATCTGTGATGGTTGTGATGTGGGGAGAGTCAGGAAAAAGAGTCGCTTGCTGCTGCTAACTTTTCTCAGGCATCAAGGCTCTCAACTTCTTTGCGATAGATTGATTTTAGCCTCCTGTAGGATTATTAATTTAAATGTGACATTGCTATAAATTACCAACTAAAATATTTGTTTTTTAAACATTTGTGCACAAAAGAAAAATTTAAGCGCGCAGGATATTACTAGTTCATTACCGGCTCTCGGGCCCTACTTTAACTTGGTCATCAGGAAAATTATGTTATTAGTTAAAACTTTTCTGTTTATGTTTGGTCTAATGAATTATGTTGACAAATATAACATACATTATTAAGAATAATAAAGTTGCTTAAATACAAACCCTTGCTTTTCATTTAAGGATATTTTCAACATTAATGATAATAAGAATAATAAAATGCTTGCAGAGCAAAAATGTACTACAAAAATTTGATTTAACTGGCAAAGAAGCGTAATTAAGTAAATGTATGAGTAGTATATCGAGTAATTATCTAAGTAGCTTATATATACAATTATACAAATAATGCCAAAGTAGACATAGTATAGAATTGGCAGTTTGGCACCATGCCACCAATAAGACCAAAATACCAAATCAAATTGAGTTTGACTTGACATTGGGTCGTTGATTGGGCTAGATTTTACTCGAGTTTTATTTATTGCATTGGAGACATTAAGGGGATGTTTAGAACTTTTTATTCTTTTTTAAAATTAGAAGCAAAATCAGGATCATTTTTCTAGAATCTGGTCTCTTTCAATTTCTACAAAGTTGCCTCTAGGAGTAATTTGAAGCACTCAGAAATATTTTCACTTTCAGCCAAATACTTGAATATCTGCTTCGGCCTCCTACATAAGCAGAAGTAGCTTTAAGAAACAAATCCAAACACCTAAAACATTTTGAATCAGACTAGACCAAATAGTGTATAAGAATATGACAACAAACTTTTTTGCTAGAACGTATGGACTATGGATATTGTGAACTGCTCAATACTGAGCGTCTGAGCTAGTGATATAATAATTATACTTATAATAATAGTTATAGTTATAATTGTAATTATAATTGTTTTTTTATTGTAATTATAATTGTAATAAATTATAATTATATATTTTTACTGAGTTCACTAATCAATTATAGTGTTTGGGTGAAATTCATAAGAATAATCCTTACATTTAGTCATTCTACAATAATAATTCTTAGTTTCTTACCGAAATTGTTCAAAAAATAATCTGAACAAACATGGTGTTCATCTGTATTATGGTTGGACTCGGGCCGGGTCGGGCCCGGGCCCGGGCCGGCTGTTCTATATAGCTGGACCCGGGACAGGCCCGGCCTCGGGTTTGGTTATTTTTTTTGCCTAGCTACCCATCCCTGACCCCCCCTCACCCCCACCCCCCAAACCCTCCAAACCTCTCCTAAACATCAAGCCCAACCCGGTGGAGCCCAAATAAATGAAAAAGCAAAAAAAAAAATAAATTTGGCCCGAACCGGGCCGGGCCTTGTTATGGGTGACCCGAGCCCGGACCGGAAACCCACCGGGTCGGGCCTACCCGGACTGGTCACTGACCGGGCCACCGGTTCGGACCGGGCCGGAACAGTACCGGTCCCGGGCCGGTTCCGGGTCGGGCCACCCGGCCCGAGTCCAACCCTAATCTGTATAAAATGTGGTGAATTTAAATCAATATCTGTTTATTACTCGGTTACTCCCAATCTTTATTCACACATTCCTGTACCGCCACCTGCGGTCATCGGAAAAGAATGTAAAGTTGAAAAAACAATGTCTTCGTGATGGCAATTTTGAAAAGAAAGCTCGATAATTTCAAAGAGTATAATTGTATAAATATCATCTTCATGGCATTTTTATAGAAAATATGACATTTTTCTGCCCATTGGAGCCGGTGGTGCTGGGAGGTGGAGGATGCGGTGGTAGTGGCCTAAATATGTTTTAATATTTTTGTAGGTGTTTGATTTAAATGTTCTTAGACTTTTTAAAAAAATCCTTTTTTATTTTACTTTACATTTTCCCGATTTCATTATTGATTTATTATTATTTTTATGAGTTTTATGTTTTTATTGTAAATTTTACCAAAAAATGTTTTTATTATAAATAAAACAATGATTTTTTTTTATTAATAAATAAATCTATAGAAATTATATTCCTATTGTTGCATTTAGGGCTTACTTTTAGTCTCACTTAGGGTTAATAGCCATTATTTGTAGTCTAAAACTAACAAATTCAGATAAATTAGTAAAATAAAATCAATCCTTCCCTCTTTTTACAATGGAAAAATCAATTGAAATCAATCGAAGATGCTTGCCTGAATTAATGTCGTCATCAACTTCTCTAATGTGATGCGAATCAGAATGTAAGCCCTTCTTCAATTCATAAATTTCCAATGAACCGCTCACATTGGTTAATTTGTAGATTTCTGCTCATAATGCTCTAATAATTGAGTTAAAGACGATCACAACAATACTAAATTATGAAAAGTCTGTTTGGAGGCTTAATTAGACATGATCTCTTTAAAAGAAAAAAAGAGTTTGAATATGAGTTGAGTTGTCTGTGTAATTGATTCCATTATTTAATCCAGATGATGTCTTGATTACATGTTTCGTATGAGATTTGTATTTGTTAGAAGGGAGATTTCCCAAAAATATGAGTAAATGGAGTTTGAAATTCCAAAATAGGACTACTGTGTTTTTATTTTAGAAATGGGACTAACATGACATTATCTAGTGTCATCATGTAGGAGTAACGGCCAAATAGTGACAATACAGTGCATTTAACATGACATTATTTATTATAATTAATGACAATATTTTTCAATCATGGTAGTATTTTTCATAAATGAGAATAACAACTCCTATTTCGGGAAGAAAAACATACTAGTCCTATTTTGGAAGTAACAACTCATACATGACAGTTGTATACTCCCTCCGATTCGAAAAGAAGTTCCACCTTTCCTTTTCGGGCAGATTCAAAATTAAGTTTCACTTTCAAACATTTCCTTATTTGGCAAATTATCTACATCAAAATAGTGTAAAACAATGCCAAACAGTGTTCAAACAGTGCCAAAACAGTGCACTCCACAGTAAAGTCAAATTTATTTTCTTAATATGTGTGAAGTCAAATGTGGAACTTATTTCAGAAACGGAGGGAGTATATATTGCAGGAGACCGTTGTTACCCATCAAAAAAGGTTAGAGATTAGTTGTGTGTATCTCAAGAAAACCCATCATTAAAAAAGGGAAAAATACATAAATATTATCTAGTACTCCCTCCGCCCCGTTGGAATTTTCCCGGTTTGACCTGCACACATATTAAGGAAATAAACTTACCAGGGGGTAAATTTTGCTGTTTTGACACTGTTTCGACACTGTTTGGCACTGTTTCGACACTGTTTGACACTGTTTTTGCACTGTTTGACCCTATTTTGTTGTAGGATAACTTTCCATTTAAGGAAATGAGAACTTTTCAGCGGGACATCCAAAAAAGGAAAGCGAGAATATTTCAACGGGACGGAGGGAGTACTAAACATACCAAATTTGATAAATCTACTTAATATTGTCTCATTTTACTTTTTTGAAAAATCTCACTAATATTGTCTCATACCAAATTTGATAAAGTTTGTGTGACTTTCCATCATTCTTACTCCATTCTTACTTTATCAATTATTCATCCACATAATTATTTTTTTAGAAACTCTGTCACTTCTTTCGTCCCAAATAGTAGTATGTGTTTATTATTAATATATGATGACTATATATATGTATATTTGAGTGTTCTAATGGCTCTAATTATCATCTAAGACACGAGACATATGTGTGGTTTACAAAGTCACAATTCATAAATGATAGTAACTCACAAGAGAAATACATGGTATCATACATTATTTTAGAAAAAAATCAGTAGTCATTATTCGTAGTATGTTTTAGTAATATTGGAGATGATTCTCTCATTCAAAAATTCTTTACATGCACAAATAATCTCTACGTATACGCATTATTATAATAAATTCTTTTCTGTGACAAATATTTTTTAGCAGTGACCAAAACGTATTTTAGAATGATTGAGAAGCAAGTTCTTTTTTATGTAATTCAAAATTACATTTAATTTAGAACTGATCCCCTAAACTTTTTATTTTAAATAAACTGATCCCCTAAACTTTAAAAATATGAAATACGAATCTTGTTTTTGAAATTGGAGTTGAGTTAGGGGCATGCTCCCTTACCTAGCTCCTCCCTTTATAGAGTCCTTCGACTATTATGTTAATAACACTTTTAATACTTCCTCCGTCTCTAAATAAAAGCATCTGTTTCCTTTTTGAGCCGTTCCTAAATAAAAGTTCTCTTTCCTTTTTAGGCAAACAAAACAGTGCAAAACAGTGCCAAACAGTGCCAAACAGTGTCCAAATAGTGCCAAACAATACCAATCCATCCCACTTTCTTAAAATGTGTGGAAAACGAATGGATACTTTTATATAAGGACGGAGGGAGTACTTAATTTTTATTTTCTTATTAGAAATACTTTTGATCCTTGACTTCAAAATTCACCATTTTTTAATTTCGTGTGTATTATTAAATTGACATTTTTAGTTCATACACTAAAATTTTGCCATAAGGAGTAGAAGATTAAGAGTGTTACCACGATAATAGTTGAAATATCAAATATGACACTTTTATGAAAATGAAATGATTAAATATAGAAATCTCAAAAGCGGGTATTAAAATATCTTTGATACAATAATTGAATGATTAAGAGCCCGTTTGGTGACCCTTTTTCGGCTTATCAGCCAGCTTTATCACCAAACACGTAACTTTTGATTTCGCGCGCTGAAGTTTGTAATAATCAGAAAAAGTAAGGTTGGAGTTACTTTTCTGGCTATTTTGGCTGAAGTTACTGTAGAGTATCATTTTAGCTATTTTTTCATATAATTTTTTATTTAATTTATTAATAACAAATATTTTAAATATAATTTTTTCATGAATCAACAGAATCAGCCAATACGGCCACTTCAGTCAGAACTTCATAAATTTCAGCAGAATCAGCCAATTCAGCCAATTTCAATGTTATAAAACGGGCTCTAAAAGAAAAAAATTCAAGATTGAGTATCAAAAGTGTCATTGATAAAATAATTATACCGCCGCCTGGGCATTCACAAAGCAGCTAAAATAGCGTGTACTGTGCTAAATGAGGTATATTTATTTATTTATTTATGCATCTTTCACTTTTCTGATAATTAGTTTACTGTATTAATTATGAATAGTTTTTTTTACCCTAGGG